GTTTTGGATATCTCTCATTTGTTAAGTAATATTTATTCCTTTCTCAGATCTTTGACGGAGTTGAAGATTATATAATTGTAATTACTCTCTACATTATTTAGACTCCTTGAGATAGAATGTCTGGTAAAACTTTCGTTCTCAATATTGTTTGTTATATCTATTATTTATTATTATTGTTTATAGTTGTATTTAGGTTAGTTCTGTCTTATTTAGACAAAAGGAGTGAGATGTAGGGATAAGCCCTCCCCTTGGGGGCGGGCTGCCCTCAGGCGTATGTTTACTGATATATTGTGCAGGCAGAGGCTGCGCGCCCCTTCCGTTTCCTCTCCTGTTTCCGCTGGCTACTCCGCTGGAACCTTGGTTTCGTGAGTCTGGTTTTGTTATTAAACTTGTTTAAATATCAATTATTGGTGATTTATTAATCCGACCGCTGCATAAAGTAAAATTGTTCTTTACTTTTACCAGCTTTCTGAGTTTTACCCAGATTTTCAATCAGTTATTATTCTCAAGTGAGCCAATGTCCAAGCTTTCAAGGGTGATTATCAGCCCATTGCCTATCACATTTGAGAAGTGTGTGAAGTGACAAGAATTGAGGGGGAACAGGGTAGTGGTGGTATACGACTTTAATCTCAGCACTCAGGAGGCAGAGGCAGGCAGATCTCTGAGTTCAAGGCCAGCCTGGCTTACAGAGTGAGTTCCAGGACAGCCAGGGCTACACAGAGAAACCCTGCCTTGAAAAAAATGGAGGTGGAACAGCAAAGTAAAGCTATCCCAGATTTTTCTCCAAGAGGCACAAACCATTTATCTAATGTAATTGATGATATAACAAACTATACTTTTCTCTAGTATCTTAGACAAGAAAAAAATTCTGACTTGGTTTAGATTTTTTTAAAAAGTCCATGCAATGGACGATTATAATTATAGTTGGAAAATGCACAGTGCCACCTAGAAATGAATACATTATAGACCAGGACAGTTTTTCAGCTGAAATTCTGGGAAACTTAAAAATGCCAGAAAAGTGATAGGCTGAAAATCCAATGCAAAAAGCTAATTGGAACCACAGTGATTCACTAGACAAGAAGATTGAGTTTTGAAGACTAGATCATAAATCCTCAGGATGGGAAAAAAGCTCTAAGACTGAGTCACTTCCTCAATTTAAATCTAGTTTCCAAAAGCAGACATTGAGCGTTGTCTAGAAAAGGAAGAGGATCTACAAGTTTCCTTGTGGAGTGCTATTCAAGTTCAGGAAATGTGGAAGAACGGTGCAAAGGAAAAACAGATGTTGACACACAGAATCTACTGTCCTGGGGGACAATAGGTACAATTTATGCCATGAGCCCATATCTACCATATCTACATGTACATACACATGGGGGGGTTGCATATGTGTATTGTGGAGGCAGATGGTACCACCTAAGGTACCATCCTCAGAAATAGCATCAAGTCCTCTCTCTGTGACAGGTCTCTCTTTGCCCTGAATCTCACATATTAGGGTAGACTTGGCAGGCAAAAAAACCCCAGGGATTCCCATGTCTCTGTCTCCTTCACCCTGGGATTATATGTGTGCACCATCATGTCCTGCATTTTGATATGTGTGATAAAAGTTAGACTCACCTCCTCTTGCTTGTTAGGTAAGCGCTTTGCTGATGGAGTCATCTCTCCAACCCCAAAATGCATAGTCTTAAGAACACACTAACTGAAATCGTTTGATAGACTGGGTAATGCCTTTCTAGGATTCTGAGGAAAATGGAGTGCCCAAAACACGATCTTTCCATTATCTTAGCCATCTTATTGAAAAGGTTGAGAGTATCAAAATATAATATCCTGAAACTATACTCCAAACTTGCTGTCAATACCTGCTGCTTACCCTCTTGTCTTCCACAGAATACAGAACTCTCGAGTATCACCCTCTCAGTGTGTTAGTCCACTTTCTATTGCCAGCAACACAGGATCACAGACTAAGTACAGTATAAAGACCTGAGATTTACTTTAGCTTGTACTTCTTGGGTACATGGGCTAATGACAGGCTTACTGGCAGAGACCCGAGGCAGCTCAAAGTCACATGACAAGAGTCAGAAAGCATGTATCTCTAGTCTCTATCCATCTTCTTATAAATCCACCGGAATGACTTTTCCTAATCCTAACCTCTTCTGAAAGGCCTTGCCTCTAAACACCATAGTAGATTAAATTGAGACCTTAAGACTTCACAGTGGGGATTAACTTCCAACACAGGAGCTTTGGGAGTGATCCAAACCACACCACGCATGAAAACATTTCCTGCCGCAGAAACTTAGGAGCTGGACTCACCTCTTGCCGTTTGAAGTTCTGCACATATTCTTCAAACTGTTCGTCTTTCGTTTCATCGGCTTTTCCCAGCTTCTGGAGGACCTAGTTTGGGACCAAAACAAAATAATTTGATTTAACAGAGTTTCTAGAGCAGGACCACAAGCTTGTTTAGTAGAGACTACTGCTGTTCTCTAAGGGGTCTGAGCAGAAGCCACCCTCAAGGCTCTTGGTGGCTTTGGAGATGGTGCGGGAGAATTGTCTGTAGTCTGTCAATCATGGTTTAAATAAATGCGGGAGAATTGTCTGTAGTCTGTCAATCATGGTTTAAATAAATGCTGATTGGCCAGGCAGGAAATATAGGTGAGAAAACCAGACAGGAAGTAGAAATGATGTAATGAGAACAGGAGAATTCTGGGAAGAAAGAAGTTGATTCCTCCCACTCCTACCCAGACCACCAAAGCAGCAGGATGTGATCTGCCTCACTGAAAAAGGTACTGAGCCACAAGGCTAACATAGATCAGAAAAATGGGTTAATCAAGATGTAAGAGTTAGCCAGTGAGAGGCTAGAGCTAATGAGCCAATCAGCTTTATAACTTATAGAGATCTATGTGTGATTTTCTTTGGGGCTAAACAGTTGTGGGGTACTGGGCGGGACAAAAACCCCAACAACAAACAAGCAGGGCCCCTGCATGTTACAGAAGACTTAGTTTGGGACCAAAACAAAATAATTTGATTTAACAGAGTTTCTAGAGCAGGACCACAAGCTTGTTTAGTAGAGACTACTGCTGTTCTCTAAGGGGTCTGAGCAGAAGCCACCCTCAAGGCTCTTGGTGGCTTTGGAGATGGTGCGGGAGAATTGTCTGTAGTCTGTCAATCATGGTTTAAATAAATGCGGGAGAATTGTCTGTAGTCTGTCAATCATGGTTTAAATAAATGCTGATTGGCCAGGCAGGAAATATAGGTGAGAAAACCAGACAGGAAGTAGAAATGATGTAATGAGAACAGGAGAATTCTGGGAAGAAAGAAGTTGATTCCTCCCACTCCTACCCAGACCACCAAAGCAGCAGGATGTGATCTGCCTCACTGAAAAAGGTACTGAGCCACAAGGCTAACATAGATCAGAAAAATGGGTTAATCAAGATGTAAGAGTTAGCCAGTGAGAGGCTAGAGCTAATGAGCCAATCAGCTTTATAACTTATAGAGATCTATGTGTGATTTTCTTTGGGGCTAAACAGTTGTGGGGTACTGGGCGGGACAAAAACCCCAACAACAAACAAGCAGGGCCCCTGCATGTTACAGAAGACTTAGTTTGGGACCAAAACAAAATAATTTGATTTAACAGAGTTTCTAGAGCAGGACCACAAGCTTGTTTAGTAGAGACTACTGCTGTTCTCTAAGGGGTCTGAGCAGAAGCCACCCTCAACACTCGAGTTGTTCTGCTGTGGAGGTGTTGTACTTGGTGGCTTTGGAACTGAGTAGACTTGAGCTGTGTGATTTTGAACAAGCACCAAGGTGGCATTGCATTTGTTTGCTTACATATGAATTCCTCCTGGAGTCTATGCATAACTTTAAGACTGAAGCTAAGCTCTATGTGTCATTTTGTCTCCAGAAGCTAGCAAAGTNCTTACAGAGTGAGTTCCAGGACAGCCAGGGCTACACAGAGAAACCCTGCCTTGAAAAAAATGGAGGTGGAACAGCAAAGTAAAGCTATCCCAGATTTTTCTCCAAGAGGCACAAACCATTTATCTAATGTAATTGATGATATAACAAACTATACTTTTCTCTAGTATCTTAGACAAGAAAAAAATTCTGACTTGGTTTAGATTTTTTTAAAAAGTCCATGCAATGGACGATTATAATTATAGTTGGAAAATGCACAGTGCCACCTAGAAATGAATACATTATAGACCAGGACAGTTTTTCAGCTGAAATTCTGGGAAACTTAAAAATGCCAGAAAAGTGATAGGCTGAAAATCCAATGCAAAAAGCTAATTGGAACCACAGTGATTCACTAGACAAGAAGATTGAGTTTTGAAGACTAGATCATAAATCCTCAGGATGGGAAAAAAGCTCTAAGACTGAGTCACTTCCTCAATTTAAATCTAGTTTCCAAAAGCAGACATTGAGCGTTGTCTAGAAAAGGAAGAGGATCTACAAGTTTCCTTGTGGAGTGCTATTCAAGTTCAGGAAATGTGGAAGAACGGTGCAAAGGAAAAACAGATGTTGACACACAGAATCTACTGTCCTGGGGGACAATAGGTACAATTTATGCCATGAGCCCATATCTACCATATCTACATGTACATACACATGGGGGGGTTGCATATGTGTATTGTGGAGGCAGATGGTACCACCTAAGGTACCATCCTCAGAAATAGCATCAAGTCCTCTCTCTGTGACAGGTCTCTCTTTGCCCTGAATCTCACATATTAGGGTAGACTTGGCAGGCAAAAAAACCCCAGGGATTCCCATGTCTCTGTCTCCTTCACCCTGGGATTATATGTGTGCACCATCATGTCCTGCATTTTGATATGTGTGATAAAAGTTAGACTCACCTCCTCTTGCTTGTTAGGTAAGCGCTTTGCTGATGGAGTCATCTCTCCAACCCCAAAATGCATAGTCTTAAGAACACACTAACTGAAATCGTTTGATAGACTGGGTAATGCCTTTCTAGGATTCTGAGGAAAATGGAGTGCCCAAAACACGATCTTTCCATTATCTTAGCCATCTTATTGAAAAGGTTGAGAGTATCAAAATATAATATCCTGAAACTATACTCCAAACTTGCTGTCAATACCTGCTGCTTACCCTCTTGTCTTCCACAGAATACAGAACTCTCGAGTATCACCCTCTCAGTGTGTTAGTCCACTTTCTATTGCCAGCAACACAGGATCACAGACTAAGTACAGTATAAAGACCTGAGATTTACTTTAGCTTGTACTTCTTGGGTACATGGGCTAATGACAGGCTTACTGGCAGAGACCCGAGGCAGCTCAAAGTCACATGACAAGAGTCAGAAAGCATGTATCTCTAGTCTCTATCCATCTTCTTATAAATCCACCGGAATGACTTTTCCTAATCCTAACCTCTTCTGAAAGGCCTTGCCTCTAAACACCATAGTAGATTAAATTGAGACCTTAAGACTTCACAGTGGGGATTAACTTCCAACACAGGAGCTTTGGGAGTGATCCAAACCACACCACGCATGAAAACATTTCCTGCCGCAGAAACTTAGGAGCTGGACTCACCTCTTGCCGTTTGAAGTTCTGCACATATTCTTCAAACTGTTCGTCTTTCGTTTCATCGGCTTTTCCCAGCTTCTGGAGGACCTAGTTTGGGACCAAAACAAAATAATTTGATTTAACAGAGTTTCTAGAGCAGGACCACAAGCTTGTTTAGTAGAGACTACTGCTGTTCTCTAAGGGGTCTGAGCAGAAGCCACCCTCAAGGCTCTTGGTGGCTTTGGAGATGGTGCGGGAGAATTGTCTGTAGTCTGTCAATCATGGTTTAAATAAATGCGGGAGAATTGTCTGTAGTCTGTCAATCATGGTTTAAATAAATGCTGATTGGCCAGGCAGGAAATATAGGTGAGAAAACCAGACAGGAAGTAGAAATGATGTAATGAGAACAGGAGAATTCTGGGAAGAAAGAAGTTGATTCCTCCCACTCCTACCCAGACCACCAAAGCAGCAGGATGTGATCTGCCTCACTGAAAAAGGTACTGAGCCACAAGGCTAACATAGATCAGAAAAATGGGTTAATCAAGATGTAAGAGTTAGCCAGTGAGAGGCTAGAGCTAATGAGCCAATCAGCTTTATAACTTATAGAGATCTATGTGTGATTTTCTTTGGGGCTAAACAGTTGTGGGGTACTGGGCGGGACAAAAACCCCAACAACAAACAAGCAGGGCCCCTGCATGTTACAGAAGACTTAGTTTGGGACCAAAACAAAATAATTTGATTTAACAGAGTTTCTAGAGCAGGACCACAAGCTTGTTTAGTAGAGACTACTGCTGTTCTCTAAGGGGTCTGAGCAGAAGCCACCCTCAACACTCGAGTTGTTCTGCTGTGGAGGTGTTGTACTTGGTGGCTTTGGAACTGAGTAGACTTGAGCTGTGTGATTTTGAACAAGCACCAAGGTGGCATTGCATTTGTTTGCTTACATATGAATTCCTCCTGGAGTCTATGCATAACTTTAAGACTGAAGCTAAGCTCTATGTGTCATTTTGTCTCCAGAAGCTAGCAAAGTGCATGATGTACAATAGGTGCCCAGCTATGTGTTAATAAAGCAAAGCTATATGATTGAAGTGTGCCTTCTAGTGATGGCATTCAATTTTCCTGACCCTGTTCTGATATATTCTTAATTCAATGAACAGTCAAAGTGGCCATGGGTATACAATTATTTTATAACCCCACGCTAACCATTGGATATACAGAAACATAAAACAAATAAATCAGGTGGCAGCATTTATCCCAGAAACATCTGACAGTCTAGTAGAATATAAGGTATGTTCACAAAAACAAAGCAGAGTTAATGTACTACAAGCAATACAAGGATGTTATAGAGTGTTGTAACAATATCTGTAGAGCCAAAGGCTTCAGAAAATATTCTGTGAAGATTGTTTTTAATCTGTTGTGAGGAATTCCAATTGACAGGAATGCGACAGAGTTTATTCCAGGCAATGAAGGGGGTCTAAGGAGGTGGGTCTTGTATCTTATCTGTTGATTTCATTGGTTAATAATAAAGAAACTGCCTCGGCCCTCATAGGACAGAAAATTAGGTAGGCGGAGTAGACAGAAGAGAATTCTGGGAGAAAGAAGCTTAGGAGGAGTCGCCATGATGCTCCCACGCCAGACAGATGCAGGTTAAGATCCTCCCTGGTAAGCCAGCTCGTGGGCTACACAGAATATTAGAAATGGGTTAGAACAATATGTAAGAGCTAGCCAATAAGAAGCTGGAACTAGCCGGGCCAGGCAGTGTTTGAAAGAATACAGTTTCTATGTAATTATTTCGGGCATAAGCTAGCCATGCGGGCGGCCGGGTGCCGGGGACGCAGCCCTGCCGCCGCTCCTATTTCAACAAATGTTTGTGTCTAGAACACA